CCCCCCAGGGTGACCCTACCCAGGGACCCTGCGGTGAAGACACGGGTGAGAAAGCGCTTTATCCCGGTGACGGAAGCTAGTGGCAGTGAGACAGGTTTACAAACCCTGGTGGAGACGCACCCTTCGTGTTAGGTTTGGCTTTTTTACCATGTGACGACGCCACTATTTTCTTCCTCTCGTCCACGGTGGCCAGCCGCCTCCAGAGAGAGGGGTACCTCTTGTACAGAGAGCCTCGGAACATGCGCAGGTAGTTCCCCACCTACGGGCAGAGTGACGGCATCACGCGCAAGGGTCAAACCCGGAGCACATCTGGCCGGCATCTGGCCCCGGGGCCTGGCGGCATCCGACTTCTCACAACAGGGCCCCACCAGCTGCCCGAGCGCCCAGCGTCAACCGGACCTCTGTCACTCTCCAGGAATGGGCGGCCTCCGTGACCCGCTTTTATCTACCGGGCCAGACTTTGATATTTTTACAGCGTAATAAACACCAAAACGGGCTCTTAATTTCAGACAGATGCGGCGCCTTGCTCGCAGCCATGTAACTCCGTTTAGAAACAAAGCGCAGTTGCCGTGGCCACCGGAGGAATTTTCCTGAGAGGAAAGTGCTGAGATCAGCCGCGCCAGAGCGGCCCCAGAAACCTTCCCCAGACAGCAGCTTGGGCATCCGTCTGACCCTGGAGCCCCCGGTGGGATTTCTGTGCCCCTCACATCTTAGAATAACACTGGCAATCTCTGCAACTCTCAGGGGCCATCATTCAGATACCCCCAGGGGCTACTGGCTGGGGGCCAGAGAACCAGGGGGCCAGAGGCTGGGAGACTAGGGACCAAGCGGCCAGAGGGCCAGGGCTGGGGTATCAGGGGTCAGGGGAACTAGGGGCCAAGGATCCAGGTACTGGAGGACCAAAAGGTCAGGAACTAGGGACCAAGGGTCAGGGTGTCTCCGAACCCGGGGCCAGGTGGCTGGGCTGGAGAAGAAGGTAGGCCGGCCACTGGGGATTCAGGCAGGTGCCAGGCGGGCGGTGTCGTGTTGCTGTGAATTGCAACCGCTGCGATGGCCTCAGAACAGCAGTAACAACTCCAGATTGTGCTGGTCAATCCAAGACTTGTCCCTACGTCTCATTTCATGAAATCCCCATTCCATTTGACTGGCACAAAGCACAGCTCTCTGAGCTAGCTGACCATCACGAAAACCTCTCCCCGCCTTCTCTCTTTAAAAAAAAAGACAGTCCAATCAAACGTACCCAAGTGTGACAGAGAACTTGTCTGCAGCCATCCACAGACCACGGAGACACAGGCGTGATGCTCAGAAGCAACCTGTACACGTACAAACTAGACCCCCCCAGGGCAGTATCTTTTGACTTACCTGGGTACTTGGTACAAACCCTCATTGGAGGGAGGGTCCCCTGTTGGCTTTTCCTAAAGTCAGTCATTCATTCTTGGGGGAAAAGATGAGGCTGTCTGGCCTAGCCCTGGTGGCCTAGTCCTTACGAGTTGGGCTACTAACCCCCAAGGTCCACAGTTTGAAACCACCAGCCCCTCGGAGCGTTCTACTCCCGTCGAGTTAGTGTCTCGGTAACCCACGGGGGCAGTTCTACCTGGTCCTGCGGGGTCACTGTGAGTCGGAATTGCTCCCGATGGCAGTGAGTTTGGGGTACTTTTTGGTGTGGTCGGCTTCCGTGAAGACCGACAGTCTCAGACATGTTATGGGCCCCTCTGCTCGGTCCTACACGGTCGCTGTGAGGCGGAACGCACCCGATGACACGGATGGGGCTGCGAGATGGTACAACGACGGGG